TAAAATAACTATGCAAACTTACCTACTCTAGTTTCTTTGTCTGCTGTTGGGTCTACTTCAATACTGGCAATAATTGGCACGAGTTGATTGTTTTTACCCAACAATGCGTAAAAGATGTGCTTTACTAGTGCCCAGGAAGATGGGCATCTCCAATAGGCTTGACTGTCCGTGTATGAATCACTGCTGTGCGGTGTCCAATGGCATCGCGAAGCGATGATTGAATGATTGTATTTAAAAAAAATAAACTTGGTACTTGGTACAACGGGCTGGTGTCCTCAACTCGACGTCAAGGCGCCTATTTTGCGTGAATTATAGATATAACTAACATGGCTATAAGTATGTACTACCAAATTATGGACCTAATTTGTTAAAACAATATAAAAATATACATATATACACTCTAACAGTGAGAACAAATTGCCCGAAGTGTGGACAGTCATTCGGTTTAATCACATTGTCACAATCCGATAAAGTTCACGTCAAAAAGAAAAACATACATCATATTGGTCTCATATGTTCCAAGGGTCGAATAAAACATTCCAATCACGTTGGTTCGCTTGTTTTACAAGCTGATACGACGTGGGTTTCCGTGAATTCACCGATCTTTTGTAGATTTGTGGCACTTAACTATGTAGACGGAAGGTTGCAAATCTGGTACCGCGCTAACGTCCAGTAAACATGACAATGCAATCAGCGGTGACCGGGCGGGATTTCCTTCATACATGAGCGGATTTGCGGGATGAATAAGTTTCGACCCCACACAATAACAAAAAGGCCTATATTGCACGTTACGCCTTTTAAAGGGCAGTTTGCGAAATTCTTTCCTTTCTACTGTAACAATAAAGACGGAGGAAAGCTTACTACTCTACATAAATATTAGTGCATAGGCATGATAATAAAACCGACAATGATTTCATCTAAGAACAATTCCTACTCTATGTGGCTCCTTCTATGCCTACTATGAGTTATTGTTATTAGGATTCTATTGGAATTCAAGACAGACAGAAATGTGCCTGTAGTAATTTAATGTTTATAAGTGTTTCTAACTATATGTAGGATCTTCAAGAAAACGTTGACTAATGACGAAACTCTGAGATTCTGAAAGTGATCGTTAACCACATGTTCGCATGCAGCGTCGATCACAAGCCGGATATCAGGATGAAAACGTTGGTAGACCGCTACTTATGGTTCAGAATGAGCGTTTGGATTGTTTGCTGGAGTAGTGCGAGAGGGGCCGCATGCCCCAGGCAGCAGACTAATGTGGCCAATCTAATATTCTGACAGGTGCGGTTGCAGCGCTCGCGGTCGCGCACAGGCCGCCGCTGCGACAAATGTATTACGAATTGTGGATAAGGCTTTTATTACATAGTTACACTTGCAAATTATGTTTGAAATATAATTTTGCATTATACAAAGTAGTACAATATATGCATATCTCGTAAGTATGGCTTTAAAATAATTGATTACACGGGAACTTTATTAACAAAAAAACAGCAACAGTTAAACAAAAACAAATTGTCTAACATAGTTTTTTATCAGAATACGTGGTTTTTGTATCGAACGTACAGACACGATGAGCGTTCACGTTGTCGATAAATAACATATTCGCGAGGAATGACAGCTGTTACTAATCGCCCCCCGCTCGCCCTCCTTCTCGCCCATCGGCATTAGTGGCTCTCGCCGCGAACTAAAATTTTCTCTCCGCGAAACTTTGCAAACACCATTAAGTCAATCTGCCCGTTTTACAGATGTTATCCAGATATTAACGTGCTGTCTCCGAAATGGCAAGAGGTTGAACGTTGTAGGGATGGTACATTTTAACGTCATATTATGTAGTGACTGTTAAGTCACCTTTAGCTAATTGTAGAAAACTTACGACGTGCGACATTTTCCGTTATGTAAGTTTACTTATAGTATTTTTTTTTTCAATGGCATAGTGTTTTATCTGGTTCGCTTAATAATAGAATACTGTGATTTGACAAGTCTATTTAAGTATATAAGAGAAAACTTTAAAATAAGAGTCCCAGAATAGGCAACCAAATACATTATTTAAAAAGTACGTGACGTCACTAAAATATAAAACGTAGGCAGGCAATAGAATTAGTATAAAAATTTCATAGACAACTGGGAAATTAATCTACTTATACGAGTATACAATGACTGTTGGAATCTACATCAGAAAAAATAGCTCCAGAGAGGGAGTATGCAATTATAAAAATGAAATTGAACTAATATGCATTTTTAATAAATATGATTTGGATAACATTAAGTCAAATAAAAAGAAAGGTTAATGTGAGCAGTTACATGGAGGTCAAGGAGTTGGCTATGGACCGTGAGGATTGGAGGAGGCTACACCGACAAGAGCATGGCTCTTAAATAAAATGAATGAGGATAACATTAAAAACATTACTATGAGAATATATTTGAAGGTAGATATTTTGGTTTTGCACAGTAAAAGTACAGTGTAAGATATGGAATGGGTTTATAGACAGTAAAGTTTACAAAAAATCATTATTCATAATAACATAGAGCAACTGAATCTCTCAATTTAAAGTACTTAACTATCACAGCCGAATACTGATCTTCTTTACTAGAAGGTTTTGTCGTTTTGTTATATAATTATACTTTAACGAAAAATAGTAAAATGTGGGCAAAATGTTTTTTAGCGTTGATTTATGTATTTATCGCGAAAATCTAGTGACTTTTAATTAAAATATTGCAACATCAATATAAAAAGAGAGATATTACTATTTCGATAGATTGGAAGATTTAGGGGGTGATTCTACACGATCACACAACAACAACATTTATTATCGCGACCACCATAGACGTGCACTATTTAATTTTGTACTTAATCGCCCAAATATAATTTTTGAGAATATTATGAGAATATTTATCTAGGTATCTTATGCGTCACCCTGAATACTTATTACTGAAACTTGGTGTGCCATAAGAACATCGCAGAGCGTGATCTCGTTTCAATTCTACACGCGACCGCTCGTCAACGTCTTACTTATTTATGATATCTTCTACCCTTACCGGAACATCTGTTGTGAACACGGCTTAAATTGCTAAAACATATAAAGATGGAGGAATAAATTATAAATAACTTGAAAGAAGATAAATTGATCGTGAATTTATTAATATTTTATAACAAGAAAATTTGACTATTTTTCAGCTGGTGATTGTTATAGGTAATGATAATCAAGCACATATATCAAAAAGATTTTGAATTTGAATGCAAAATATAAATGTTCATTTCGATAAAAAAAACCTGCTTGTTACAGACTATATAGATAAATAAAGTTTAACTTTTGCTTATAATTTTATTTTTACCTATTGAATTTGTAAAATCTATTTCAAATGAAAGTCGCCCGTAGCGTACGCAAACGTAGAAGAGTGCGGGAACGGTCGTAGCGCGTAGCGTAGCACCAGCTGCGAATAAATTGCTTAGACTCGATAATGGCGTTTTCAATTTGCGCGGATTTGCAACTCAAGCCCGCACCCGACGTTTACAAGTATTACCAGTAATTTATAAATCCGTCGCATTTTGTGGTGTGTCTACCACAGCGTAGCTTTTTTGTAATTGTGTAGTTACTATTGTATGTAGTGATTTATCTTAAAATACATTAATTATTTGAAATACGAATGGTTTACTAGGTTGGATGACGAGACTTATACCTTTTCGTTTCGGTAACGTAATCACGACATATTACAAAATTACAGAGCGCTCTAGAGAATATACATATTATTACATCACGATGCGAATATGTGAAATTTTGCTTGAGCCGCGGGAAGCAAACGAAGGCAACACAAGCTCCCCGTAAAACACGCTGATACGGATAATCCGCGCGCGACATAACACAGATTGTATTACGGCAATAAGTTCGCTCCGAGGCCGATAAACGTTCGTTCGCTTAATCCCTCCGAGATTTTTTCACACGTCTCTGGGATGCGGGCGCGGAGCCTTCGGGAAAACTAATAAAGAAACCATCTCACAGTCAGCTGAAGCATGAAATGTATTTTTTATATAATTTACCACGAACTGATTGTGGGATGTTTCAGCAGACAGAAGACTCTTTCAAGTAACATGGTCTACTCCCTTCATTTGTTTGGCTAGTGCGTGTGGGTTTTACCCAAAATGTTGCTTAAATTATAGGTGAAAATGGGTGAAATATGCAATTGTTACACAAATTATAAATATTAAAGGACGAACGTATCTGTACAAAGATTTAGCGTGGTGACCGCAGATGGTTGGTGGCTATATTTTTCAATTGTAACGCGAGCTGCGAATCGTGTAAACACGCTGTTGGTATCGGACGTGATAGGCGATGGGGCGGTCGGCAACTAATTACGCCGTCACGTGTGCCACGCAGCCACCGCCGCCGCCGCGAGCAAAACACGTCACCACCGTCCGTCTGACCATATTCGGCCTGCAGGACATCGATCAATTCTAAATGTCGACGTTTTGTACTAAACGCTGCACCCTGTACTAACTTTATGCAAATTTGATATAATCATATCCTAGTTAAATAACGCACAATCAATACACAGTATAAAAATTGGAATCAAGCTAGTTATAATTTTACTGTTAATATAGCGTAAAGAGATTTATGTTCGACATGTTTACTCGATTACTCTGCAGAGAAATGTAAGAGGTACTTCATTTGTTCTGTTACTTCATAATATAGACATTACTGTACTCAGTCAATATCACACTCAACTTTACATTATGGACTTTGTACCACCGTTCTTATCATAAACGACATAAAGTTGAACTTAAATTTTAAGGTTAGGCTGAGTGAGCTGTTGACTGTATATATACGCGGCATTTTGAAAATTCGTGCAATCACCGCAAAACTGATGGTATTTTAAGTAGATAGATATCGTTGGTATTTTATAAAGTAAGTCAGTCTCTTTGCTATGTCTTCACTATTTGTGCCTTTGTCAAAAGCTTGTCATCAAAATGACGAAATGCTTTTTTGTTTTTGGAGTCGTTTTGATTGTTTGTCGAGTAGTGTAACAAAATGGGTTGTTTTATGTTACTCAAAAGTATTATATTGTAATAAAAGACTAGCCTGTGGCCTGCTTTCCCGAGGATTTTTGTGTTTTATATTACAAACAATGGCTTTTAGTGTGTTTAGACGCACTCCTGTTCTCTGTAAAAGTATGTGATGTTACTATCGATGATGTTACTAGTGAACTAGTACTTATCTATTGTATAATAAATTTATAGTAATAATAACGCACTCACTCAACATAGCCCCGCATTAGGGAAACCATGTATCGCGGATGCCATGGACACACAGACAACCAGAAATTACACCTAAATTCACGAGAGAAATAAATGTAAGCCATACAAATATTCCTCCCATGCCGGGAATCGAACCTGGAGCCTCTGCGGGGCAGTCCGGCATGGTAACCGCTCGGCCAAGATGACAGTTAAATCTATAAAAGTATTTCTTTTTTATCAGGATTTAACTTATTCAAGTATATCATCAGTTTTTAGATTTTCGCTACATATTGGAAATTATACTATTTTTTATGGGTCTACGTATTTGTTTTTTTTTGTACAAACAAACCGAGACGTTTGGGGCTTTTACCAAGTCCCGTGGTCAAAAACGTTAAATTTTCAATAAGTACAATATCATTGTGTAATAAATACTAATAATATTCGAATAATAATACGAAGGTTTCAAATAATTTATCTTCTAATATAAATTAAATTTTGTTTATGATTCTGGTAGTTATAGAAATAATGTTTTTCTTGTTTTTTTTTTTTAAAATCTTTTTTGTTTTCAGCTGCGATGGGTAAATGGGCTTTTAACAAATCTGGCTTTAATAGATATGGTAAGTTTTATTTTTAAAAAACCAGTTCTTTTTTATATTAATTTGCACTACAGTTTCATTTGTCTTTTAAAGCCATTCCGTAGAGCCTGGTAATATATTATCTGTTGCAGTAAGGTATTATTAGAATAGAATTGACCCAATATTCATTTACTAGGTCTTTACCGCGATGACTGCTTATACGAAGGCGACCCGGACGTGGAGGAGGCATTACGCCGATTGCCGAAGCATCTAATTGATGAACGCAACTTTCGGTTAATTCGTGCGATACAAGTCAATATAACTAAACATTACCTACCAAAAGAAGAATGGACCAGATATGAAGACGACGTGCTCTATCTCTCGCCTATTGTCGACCAGGTGCGCAAGGAGAGACTTGAGCGTGAAAAATGGGAGAAAGAACATTGATTTTTTTTCTCTGTTTATTATTTCAGTTTAAGATGTGTTTTGCATCGATTAAATATGTTTTATTCCGGGTAACTATTTCATCTTTTAATAAGCAGCTATGCTCGTAATTTTATTCCTGACGCAATTGCGATGAATGAAATACTTGACTTGTACTTTTATTAGCAACACTAACTCAGCGATCGAAATAAGTATCTATAGGTACGCTATGACGTCAACGCTATTGCTATCGCGACGAGCCTGCATGACTTGGAGCGTGACCTCTTTATGGTTGTTCAGCGACTATGTTCGTGGCTCCCTTGGAGCATATAACACGCTAGACGTTATTAAGCATTATTTCTCAAACAAACTTTCTACCATTCTTTTAAAATTGCAGTACGGTAGGGACTTATAAATACCCACCACATTACCAGTGGTTCGCTTAGTAGTACGATGGGCTCCGCAGGTTCTTTGAGAGTCGGGAGGATACTACTTCAAGCAAACAGGTGCACTCGAACGCAATATCGAGTTGTGTCATTGTGGTCTCGCGCAAACAAAATTCGATAATTCTAGCTAAATGTTACAAATACACCGATAAAACACATTCATATCATGTGCGCCATATGTGCGCGCACAGAATACGTTTATTAAAAAAATCGATTCCAATGAATTTGCCAGAGATGGGTGATATCAACATTCAGTGTCGACGATTATATGTATAATAAAATCTTAATAATAATAAATGTTTCTTTATTTAAATTTAAAACTATTTATTACATTACATTACTATTAAATTGAATTTTGATAAGGGAAAATTATTATTATTAATGAAGTCAATAATTAAGAATTAACTTAAATTGAATTCACATTACAAATAATAGTACAATTATAATTCATTTATTTTTCTTTTAAAAATGGAGTGTTCGCTTACAAAATAGCACGTACCGCATGCTCTCCTCACAATAATATTGGCCGAATTTCTCACTTTCGTAAGAAAAGACCACTCCCCCTTTCGTATTGTGGCGAAAAAATCATCTACTCTATTCATGGCAAACATGCCAGACGCACTACATCGCCAGGGAAGCCGCAGCATAGCACGAAATGCATTGTTGTGCTGAACTCTGAGTCTATCAAAAGGTCGCATATAATCGTCAGTGGTATCAACCACAACTGACTAGTGTGGAATGTCTGACAATAAGCCATATGCAGAGTTATTTTTACTTGAGCTCAGCAATGAGCAAATAGCCGTTCACCTATTTTCTCAGAGAAAAACATGCCATGACGTGCTATAAGCTGTGCAACTGAAAGTCTTTGCCAAAGACTGTAGGTACACTAATACGAGTACATAACGTTGTTGGTCTTTGCTGTCAAAACAAGCAATTAATAGTTATTTGTTACGCAAGACTGCACAGTTGTTGTTTGCTTGCGCGAGTGCTTGTGTTGAAACTCAAGCAAGCAAATCATGCCAAAATCAGAATATGCACGTCGTAGCGAGTGTATCAAGGTATAAGACGCAAAAAACTTTGCTGCCGTGCGAAACACACATCTTTTCACCTCAGTGTAGCGAGGAAAATGGTAGATGAAAGAAAAACAGTTGAACTCATATACAAAATCTATGGTTGAGTTGAACTATAACAAATTGGTTTTTATCAATAATCATATACATCATTGATAAACTGATTTGTTACTTCAACAGTTTCTCTTATAAGTTTAATTATGTTTTTATTATTGGTTTTAATTAACAGAATTAGTTATCGTTGTCAGTTTAATGTCAACAATAATAAGAATAAAATCTACCAACGGATTTATATTACATAATAATTTACGACAAATGGCGTGGTTGAATGTATCATTATACCCGTTTTTTTTCATCGAAAGGAATAGTTAGGTGCACCACAGTCACATTAAAAAAAAATTTCAAAAAATTCAAAATATTTTATTACTTCACTGTACATGGCATAATTCAGGGGCTGATGTTTCCTTTTAAGCTTGATAGGGCCTGTGTTAGGAAACATCGCTCTTCTTTACAATTAATAATTAAACATTGCTCTTACGTTAACCTTAATAAACTAAGACTAAATTAACCTATGTGTTACTTTGTGTGAGTGCATGTCCGTGTATATATGCATGAAGTGTGTGTGAATGAGTGTTTGTGTATGTGTGTGTGTAAATGAGTGTGTGTGTGTGTGTGTGTGTGTGTGTGTGTGTGTGTGTGTGTGTGAGTGTGTGTGAGCGCACATATTTCTGTTCAATTTTGATTTCATTTAATTACAATATTATATCAACTAATGCCTCGCTTGTATGTTTACTTATTCTTTTATCTATTTCAAGTAATTGCTCAATCTCCTCATACGACTGACTTAGTTTCGAGCCATTTTGTAATGGCTAATTTGCAGTCATAAACTATTTTGTTGTATATATCAAGTTCTTTGTTAAGAGTGTTATACAGATATGAGGTCCTGTATTTGTACTGTCTACTAGCCGCAGTAGTTTTTATTTTTGGTACTAATGCAATTTTATGATATGTTCACACAAGTCACATCATCGTCCAGTTTGAATTTCAACAACCTTTTCCGCGCCAGTGTGGTAAAACGTTTTTGCGCGCAGATTTCTAATGAGAAAGAAAGCCATTCCGAGCTAGTGAGGTGAAAAAAGTTAGTGATTAACTTTTTTTGGAAAATGGTGGACTTTTGTCACTTTTCAGTTTCAAGTTTTACTACATTTTCAGTTTCTTAAATATTTTCAAATTTTATTAGCTTGATGTACATACCTAGATTGTAAAGAAACTGTTAAACAGCGTCAAAAGTTACTTCAAAACAATTAGGCATGTTCAATAATATAAGATGCGTACAAATTCCGCTACAAAATAGTAAACTCACCATTAAGTTCCATTCATCTAAGCCATTAACGTAATTTCAATGTTAATGATAAGATATGACATTTAATTTCGTATTAAGTACTAATGTTTGCCTTTTCAAATACAATCCTTTTATACTTTTTTGAAGCACCAGAAACACACGCCGCCAGAGTAGTGGAAGTATACTATTAAGAACAACAACCTATAATATGCCTACTATAGGTTATTGTTCTTAGGCAGTATATGTGTCTTTTTTTTTTCATTTAAGTAATTAGAAACAATAAAGAATATTTAAAATAAAATTAACCATCGTGCGTTAAATGTCGTGCCATTGCCGTTCATCTTTATTTAACGAATTTACGAATTTAAACAAATCAATTTTACCACGTAAACGAACTACATGGAACCAGATTTGTTTCTAATACGCTCATAGTTTACCCCCTGGGCTAAACAATACAAACTCGCCTTAACAAAAAATTATCGTAAAAAATGTAAATAATGTATACTAATCGAGTTCTTAGGTTTTCGCGATTGTTACACATAGGAAATGAAACTATTTTTCCGGATTAAATCGCGTATATTTGTTTTTTCAAACAAACACGAACAACGCGATTTAAATCCGGAAAAATAGTTTCATTTCCTAAATGTACACACAGTTATAAAGTTACAAATATGAAGACACTGATTCGGAAACGTGTAAAAATAGTGACTAATAACAATATTAGTTTTTAATCTATGCTCAACTGGGACTACTCCCATCCTATCTACATAGGGTGCATCCGTCCGCGCCACTCCTGCGACCACCCGTAGTCATCGTTGGCACTGACCCTCAGTTTTAATTGCATTGCAGTGGGAATGAATCGATGGTCGATGTATGTGTATATTTTATTGTTTGTTGTCATATATAATAATTACAGTTTACAAGTTTACTAGAGCTTTAGAATTCCTTTTAATTCTCTCTCTATCCAGTTCGCTTTTGTGAACAATACCATATCTTTCTATTGATATTCATACATTCGTTAAACAATCGTATTGTGATCACATGTTTGGGAGCTAGTATTGTTTTTTGGAATTATAAATGAAGTTAAAAGATTATTATCTGTTTTAACAACGACGGAATACATTATGATTAAACTGCATAGGACAAGGATCATAAAAATATCTCCCAGTGAATATAGTCTGGTCAATGATCTTATATTTTTGTGGTTGGTTTTCATGCAGATCGGTTTATTTGTTTTAGTATGAACACACGTGTATATCTTTATTTCTATTTATCCGAATTAATTTACAGCTATCCGAGAACATAGCAGAATCAGGGTAGCTGATTCAATTATGTCACGTTTGGAGTAGAGTCGGTCGGGCGAAAAGACGGGGAAAAACGGGAAAAATGTCGGCATTAGATCGTGTTGCGATAAGTGGATGACTTTGCGCATGACTTGCCTTCAAAGGGCGGCCAGCGAGGCGCGAGCCGACCGCTTGCGCGAGCCGCCTGCGAAGCTATCGTCTGCCGCGGCCACTTACACATCATCTATCGCAATGCATTGAAAAGGATGAGGCACTATTACCATATATTACTTACAATATCGAGGTTAAATGTCAGAGTTTAGCCAACCTTATATAATTTTTATCTCTTATCGCTATCTCATTAGTTGGTATCATCAATTTGACGATATTGTTACTTATAAACAATATACCTACTGTTAGGGATCAAATAAATAAAAATAAAAATATGTACTTTATTTTAAATGTTGTTGTAAGGTAATAGTAAAGCAAACCCTACGTCATTGAAGTAAATCCCTTTTAAATTGCTCGTTCGGTGTTAAAACTCGCGCTTGGTATGCTCGCCACCGCGACACACGTCGATATTTTAAAAGAATGCGCTCCATACGACATAAAAAAGATACGAGAGTTAGGACTTAGTATCCATTTGCCGAAATTGGCCTCGTTCAAGATAACAACAAGTTTTCGCACCCTCGCAGCTAAATGTGCAATTCATACGTGTGTAAATCTACGCCGCTCTATCGAATATGTACCGTAGGCTACAATGAATAAGAAATATTTTAGAAAGTTAGTGTTGCTTTTAACATATGTCATTGTAGATACATGTTATCAGATGTTGGACAACGTGTGGTGAGCTTCAATTTGTTCTCGTTTAGAAATTTTTGAATAAGTAGGATATTTTCTCATGGAATAAGTTTTCCATCAAGACAGTATACTTA